TTGGTGGATTCTCTCAATGTTCAGTTTCCCAGTTGTGATACTGTATTAGTTATGCAAGAAGTTAACATGGAGGAAAACTGGGTGAAGAGTATATGAGATTGCTCTGTATTATTTCTTAACTTTATGTGAATCTACATTGACCTAAAAAAAGTTGAATTTAAAAATATTATGTAAGATTAATAGTTGATCATGAGTATCCATGGCTTGGTTTTGGTATTTTGGGAGGTAGTACTTAATATTTTACCTTTAAGTATGATGTGATATATACTATTGTCTAGGTCTATACATATAATACTCATATTACCAAAATTTTATTGATAAATAACTTCAGTCAAATTTTCCCAAAGTGTTTTAAAATCAGACACAAACATTATGCTTTGTCAATACTTTCATACCATTTGTTATTACTTTAATATGATACATTATTTTGTTGCATTTCATTAATATATTTCCTAATTATCAAAACACCTTTACATTATTGGCATAAGCTCCAAGAGGCAAAGTTCATCATTGGAAAAATTTTTTATTATAGAAAACTTCACATGCAAAATTTGATTAACAATGAATCCCTATGTACCCATCACCTAGACTCAACAGCTATGAAATCATGGCCAATCTTGTTTCATGTTGACCCTCATAAACCACCTCCCCCACTATATTATTTTCAAGTCCCAGATTTCATATAACTTCATCCGCTAACACCTAAAGTATTTATCTCTAAAAAAGGCAGTAACTTAAAAAAAAATAACTAAAATTTCAGTATTATGCCCTTATAACTAACTCTTTAATATTATCAAATATCCAGTGTTCACATTTGTTTAAAGTGAGATCTAAACAAGGTTTGCATACTGCAATTTGCTGACATGACCTTGGTTTCTCTTCTTCTATAGAGTCCTCTGTCCTATCTTACTTCTTTCATTGTTAAGTTTTGAAGAAAGGATTGTTTATCCTGTGTAGCCTTCGAGCATTTGAATTTTGCTGGTTACATCTCAGTGATGTTTAGTATGTTCCTCTGACTCCCTACCTTTCCACTAAATTAGCAGTTAGATCTAGGGTCTTGATGAAATTCAAAATTCAATTATTTTGGCAAGCCACTTCATGGGTGGTACTTTATAGAGTCCAGTCAGGCAGGAGAATGAAACCACACGAGTTATTTTAACTATAGGACTAAAAAGGCACAGAGAACTTCCTTCACCCCTAGGACTGGGGGAAAAGAGAAGTTGGAATTAATACTTGGGAGCCTGAAACAAGACTCCTGTGGAAGTGAAATTCAGACCTTAGAAAACACACTGCTTAGTTGGTGCCAATATTCATTAGGAAGTCCATGTCTGGCTGTCTTTTAGTGAAATTAGGAGCCATCGAAGATCATTGCCTAGATCCATTAATTTAGAGGATGATTACTCTAATCTTACTCCTTAATACTCACAAAATTTCATCACCCCTTACATTAATGCCTCCCCAGTCAACCTAGTTATCTGACCCTTTGTCTTGTAGATTCCTCAGGTAGGGTTCATGAAAACAAGGTTCCATGAGTTGCATGATAGTTTGCCTGTGGCTTTTATATTTGAATGGATATGAAATTTGATTGGGTATAAAGCCCTGAGCAAGTTTATGTTACTTCATGGTTTTTTGGCACTTTGCCTGGATTTGCAAATTTGTTTTTTCTTTAAAAATTTTTTTACTTTCCTTTTTTAGGCGACAACTCAAGTACTGACCATTCTGGGCCTGGGCAATGGTGTGTCCTTTCAAGACATAAAGTCTTTCTAATTTGAAGCAAGTTGTCTTGAATTAGTGTATGAGCTAGGGTCCAGTCAGGAGGCAGGAGCCAAACTAGTTATCTGAACAGGTAGAATATAAAAAGCATATTAACTAAGTATAGTTAACTAGATTACTTAAAGAATAAAAAGAAAACACCAGATGTCCCAGAGGTAGCAAATAAAATCCTCAGATGAGAGAACAAAGGAGATAGCCACTACCATTTGGAGGGGCCTCATGTTGCTGGTCAGACCTCTTGAGGAGGGACGCTGGCGCTGGTCACTGAGGTTGGGCCTAAGACCTAGATCACTGAGGAGGGGGCGTTGGTATCTCTGGAGGGGACAGGATGAAAGGAGTTCTACAAATGTCATAGAAAATAGAAACTACATTTGGATTCAGCTACTGGCAGGGGAGGGAAGTGCTGCTGTGAAAATGAAGCAGCGCTGCTGGAGTGACCCAAGAATCACAAGGATAAAGCCGCAGGCAACAGGGCAGGGCAGAGCAAGTCCTTTCTCCTTCAGACTTGTGGTACCCTCTGGAGTGCCCTGCTGGCAGAGGCTGACATAGATCCAGCTAGAGGAGCGGAAATGTGGCTTACGGTTCCAGCTTCATCATCATAAAGCAGATTAGGGATTATCAATCGTGTTTATTCACATTGGAGTTCCTTCTTGGTTTTCACTTTTAAAGTGATTTGTATTCCTTTTAATTTCTAATGCTTTCCTGAATTCCTCTTTTCAAATCTTTCTCTAATTCTGGTTTAATATTGTTTTCTTACAGCTTTTATAATTTTATTTCTTTTAGTTTGGTTTGAAACATCAGGTTAATTTTTGTTTTAACAATTTACTGTTCTATATTCTTATAATTTTGTATCATATTCCACAACTCTTTTCTTCTTACTTGAATGTGAAGTGCATTTTCCTGTACTTTTAGGAGGGAAAGGACAAAATAACTTTTCTACCCTCAAGGCTCACAAAATCCTATTTTCGCAGTGACTAAAATAAATGACTAGTACTGCAATTTACTTCCCTTGCTTCTCTCACTTCAATCGGTACATTGTCTTTCCTTTGCTTATTGTCCCTGTCCTCAATTTGGTGCCTACTTTCCCTCCATGGCTTTCTATATAGAAAGCCAATACATTCAGACCTTAGAGCTACTTTTGAGTTTATCTCTCTCTTATCTTATTTTGGGATTGTGGGGATACCTTGTCACCAAGATTTGATATAGGAGTTGTGCAATGATTTTTGCTTTTGTGAAGGGATTTGGGGAGATTTAAAAACTACAATATTGCTATTTTTGCCATCTTCTATTCTTTAATGCATTTCTGGTAGTTAATCTTTTCTCTAGGAATATTTGTGATACATTTGTATAAGGCAGAGTATAGCACAGTGAGAGTATGGGCTGTGGAGTTACTGCCTGGGTACAAATCACTATTAACTAATTGTGTGATCCATAACTTCTTAGTTTCCTGTGTAAAATAATAGGTTTTGAGAACTAAATGACATGACACATTATTTATCGAGAAAAATACTAGGTTAGACAGTTATTCAATAAAGATAGCTGTTTTAATTATTGTAGTTTTCTTTTTCCAGGTCTAGCTCTTATATTACTGGCTTTATAGTAGACTATAAAAAAAAGTAAAAACAAAACATTTGAAAATTATGAAAAACCAAAAAGCCAAACTCTTGAAAACAACTGTTGGCTCTGTGACAAGATAGAAACCATAACCACAAACAGCTAAAAAATAATGAAAGGAGGAAAACACATGATAGACAAAGGTGACTTCAGAGGAAAGTTCACAGTATTAAGCACTTTCACTACAAAACAGAAGAGTGAAAATATATGCAATAGGCATTCAGTACTAGAGTAACTGCTTTTTTTTTTAAAAGATAAAGTAGAAATAGATGAATTTTTAAAGTAGGAGTAAAATGACTATACCAAATGTTGCTAAGCATGTGGAACAGAGACACTCAGATATCGTTGGTGGAAATGGAAAAATGTTACAACTGAAAGGTCTAACTAAAGTGGAATACACATATAGCCTTGACCCATTGAGGCTACTTCTAGGTAAGTACCCTAGAGCAGACTTTCCCAACTCATGTGCCAGGGATGAGTGGATGGGTAAGGCCTTTTCTGGCTGCAGCTTCCAAAGCCTCAGCTTTTATCCTACTGCAGTATACAAATACTCTTTTCTGTATTATCATGTCTACATAAAAAGAGTTGGTAAGCAACATCTTCAGTATCTTTCTTCAACTTACACATAAGAAAGCAAAGTTTCACTGGAGTCAGGGCCTTATTTAATTCTCTGCTGGATCTGTAACCACTAGAATAATGTCTGGTATATAGTAGTTGCTCAATAAATATTTGTTGAGTGTACAAGAGCAAACCACATATAAAAATGTTCATTAGCATATTATAAAATGAAAAATCAGAGACAATATAAAATTTCCATTTAAATAGAGAAAGGATGAACATGTATACTCATATAATGGAGTATTATTCAGCAATTAAATGAAGTAGAAATCCATGTACAAATTTCAAAAACACTGAGTGAAAAAACTAGAAAGATATGTACAATGAACTTTATATAAGGTTTATAAACATGTGAAATAGGCTACATTATTAAATGTAAAATTATACATGTGTGGAATGACATATACCAAATAATCACTGCCTCTAGGGAAAACAGAAGAATGTTATCAGGAAAAGATGTGCAAGGGAGCTTTAACTTGATCTTTTACATTTTACTTCTGAAATAAGAATCTGAAGCATGGCAAAACGTTAAGATTTAATAGGACTAAATATTACTTGTTATATTCTTTGTATTTTTATGTTAAAATCAACCATAATTTTTTAAAAAGTAGGACTGGTAAGTAAATCTAAGAATGTGTATGAAAAACTAAAAATAAATCAGTAGTTGGCCTAATTAAGAAAGAAAACATGTATATAAGATCAATGAAGAAAATTAGTATAGGTATATATTAGAAATTAAGAGAATACTTTCTACAACCCTAAGCAAATACATTTAATAGAAGGCCTCAATGAAATGGATGCTCTCTCTAGAAAAACTACAAATAAGAATTAATGAGAGAGAAAACAGCAAGGGAACAGTGGCAGAGAAATATGCCTAAAAAAAATAAAATCCTGGTCCAGATATATCAACTACAACATTCTTTCAAATCTTTGAGGTAAAGATTTCCCATTATCTAAACTTTTCTAAAGTGTAATGATAAAAAAACAGTCTTTTCTTTCAGGGTTATTTGAAAACTAGTCATATTTATTTTCATAAAGTATATTAAGAATTCCTATTGTGTTAACTAGCCATTGTGTCAACCCAAACAGCAATATTTACAGTTTTAATGCTTAAGTGTGACAGTGCACAGAAAAGGAAATACAAATGGCTCAAGCAATAACCAAACTTAGTCTTAATAACCAGTACAAAATTCCACTGTGATTTTATCTCCACAGATATTAAAACACCATTATTCAACAAACGGACTGGCAAAAATCAAAATGTTTGATTAACATTGTTTATGAAGACTCAAAGAAACAAGCATGCTCACACATTTTTGGTGGGACTGTAAGCTGGCCCAATCCTAACAGAAAGCAATTTGCCAATATCATTCAAAAAGAAAAATGTGCAAGTCTTCTGACCCAGTAATTCCAATTTAAAATTCTGTTACAGTAACTCACTCATGTGCAGTGTAACCTGTGTACAAGGTTACTAAATACAGCATTATTTATAAAAGCAAAAGAATGGAAAGTAAAATGTTTGTCAACAGGGATTGCTCAAAAAATTATGGTCCATCCATACAATGAAACATTATACAGTTGTAAAAAAAGAATCAAGAAAGCTATGTACTGATATGAAACGATCTCAAGAGCATAATGCTAAGTGGAAAAGACAGGTTGAAGAATACTGTGCATTGTGGAGTACCACTTAGGAAAAATATCTCTACAAAGATATTTGAGTAACAGGTTAATACTTCAGGGAGAGGGAAATGGGTACTAAAAAAGGGAAGGAGACTTTCACTGTATTATCATTCTGTTTTTTGAATTTTGAACCAAGTGAATGTTACATGTTCTGATGAAAAAAAAATGTCTGAAAAGACAATTTTGAAATAAAAACTGTAACATCCCAACAGAAAAATAAAATTCTTTTAGATAGATTCAAATTAGCAAGTGTTATATTTCTTTTGTCTGATGGATAAACTTTTCCACAATTCCATTGAGTCTTTCAGGCTCCATCAGTTTATTTGCCAATTCCTGCTCAATAGCCATTAGGGCCAGGCCACTAAGTTTCTCTTGTCCAAGAGCACAACATAAATATGTTTTAAGACGAGGCAGTGTAGAAAATGAATTTTTGGCACTTGCTGAAGTAACTGGCCAAGACAAAGCAATATATAATAGCTTTGATATGCAAGGAATATTATTGTGAAGACCATGCTGAATAAATAAGTAGCCAAGATCGATGAAGGTGATACAATCATAATCTATGACAAAGTTGAGCTTTGCATATTGTCGATAAAATCTAAGTTCTGGGATGATGTCTGCATCAAGTTTATAGAATTCTTGGATGTGTTTGGCTGTTGTTTCATTTAAGGGTTCATTCCATTTCAGTAATAGTTCTGAAATTTGCTTCATTTTGCAATAATCAAACTCTGAAAAACATAAGTTTAAATTTTGTAAGATAGTATCCAATCCTTGGTAATAAATATTAATTTTATATTGTTCTTCTGTTGAGGTAGGAAAAACCATACTGTCTGCATTGCCAAGATCTATTGTTTTCTGGATTTTTCTTCTCTTCTGAAAAGATGGTCTTTCAACTTCAAAACCTTTACATGTTACTTTTTGACATATTTCCTCTGCTCCATCCCAGATAGTTTTGAAATAGACATCATTTCTTTCAGATGATAAACATTCAAAAATTGCTTCTATTTTTGAAGACAAAGAAAAAATGTCTATCATTTCACTTTGAAGCTCTTTAGAAAGAATTCCTGTAACACTTAGTACTCGATAAAGAAATTTCAAACAAAATATAAATTCAAATTTGGAAACCAATGTCAACAGATCACTCAATTCATCAGCCAAACTTGCGTTTGAAGAACGGCTTGATAAAACTTCCAGTGCTTCAATAATCTCTGGAAGACCTTCAATCACAGATAGTAATGTACGATCATGGACTGTCCAACATGATTGTGATGTATGTTTTTTGCATGTTTTGTTCTGACTTAGCTTACAAATATTTCGAAAATTTGCAGATAGTTCCCCAGACATATGAATAGTGTTGAACAAAGAACTGAGAGTATTTAAAGCACTTCGTAGTTCTTTTATTTCTTTGCAAAAACGAATTACTGCTAAATCCAAAAAATGTGCATAACAATGTATATATAAAGCTCTTGGCTCCTCCTTCTTGAATTCTGCTGCAATTTTATTAAATTTTCCCCTCAAATTAGTGGTACTATCATAGGCCTGGCCACAAATTTTACTCAAATCCACTCCAATATGCTGTAGGTATGTTCTAATAGTCCCATGTAAGTTGGCCCCAGCAATCTCTTCAACATCTATGAAACCCAAAAATCTCTCTTTAATTAAGATAGCTTTTGCTGTTTTTTGTGGGTATCTTACACAAATTGAAAACTGTTCTTTAGTGGTACTATCATTTGTTTCATCACATATTATTGAAAAAGCTGAGGAGACATTGATCTCATTCACAATATCTTGCAACATTTCAGTCTTTATAATTTCAATAATATCATTTTGAATCTGTGCACTATTATAGAAGTCAACTTGTGAATTCGTAAGTCGAAATATTTCTTCTCCTTTATCTTTTGCTCTGATTTCTAACAATTCTAAAAAATTGCCTTTATTCACAGATGAAATAGACTGGTCGTTTCCTCTTAAGGGTAAACACTGCTTTCCAAGAAATAAAATATTTTCAATTATAAGCTTTAGGTACTTTTTATTTCCTTCAATCTGTTTTGAATGAATAGATAAATTATCATTGACAGCTTCATCACAAAATTGGTATTCCCTCCAAAATTGCAATGACTTCAGATGCATTTCACTTTTTTCATGCTTTCTGAATTTTTCCAGAGTTTTTTTCCAATTAGAAATTTCTTGGGTTGCAAATGACTCTCCTTCACAGCTAAAATTTTTCTGGGAGAACAACTGGCATGAATAACAGAATGTCACATCTTTTTTAACACTGTTTTCCAAATGCTGAAAATTTGACCACCAAGATTTTCTAATACTTCGTGATTTACCTTTAACTTTTTGTACTTTGGACGTAAATTTTGGGTGACATAGCCCATCATTTATTTTCATAGATTTCATAGTATATGCAGCATCTTGGTTTGGCACTTGATCTTTTTGTACTTCTATACTGGAGCCAACTGTATGTTGACTGGGTATTGATGATGACGGTGAAAGGTCTGGTTGTTCTACACTATTAACACCACCACTACTTGATTCACTGGGTGAACTCTTAGAAATCTTTGGGAGAGAAAATGATAAGATAACATTTGTTTTAACAGGTTTCAAATAATCATGTAAAAGGTCAGACATATCTAATACTATAATAAAATGAATAGGTGAGTTACAGTATGAGCTCCACTAGGAGGAAATATTAAGAATAATTTCTAATTTATTTGAAATCTAGATTCAGCATTAAATGTTCAAAGGATCTTTTGGTATGCAAATATAACAAAAATAATTTTCATTGCTCAGGTGACTCAAATTATATTTTAAAAAGTAGTAATAACCCAAAAGAAAAACTTGACTAACAATACATGTCTAAATAGTCTTAGTAAAAATTTCAAGTCAAACTTGAGATTTGGGAAATTGACTGTGAATACCAAAAGGTGTTTATTACTTAATGTTTCTGAGCTCAAAATATGAACAAATATACTCAGATACATACACACATGCACACATACAAAGTACGCTTAAAAAGAAAAGACAGTAGCAAAAAAATTAAGAATAAAACTTACATCTGCAATGATATTTGCTGTTACTGAAGAAACTGTGCCTGCTAAAATAGAGCATAAATTCAAGATCTTACAATCTATAAAACATCATCATCAACTACAATCACTTAGGTCACACCAGGCAATAAAAACAAACAATATACAGATTCATCAAGGATGGCAAAACAGTGTCTATGTCAAATATCTTCACATCAATTTTTACCTTGTAAGACGTCAGAGTTCATGACAGGCAGGGCAGCATGAGTATCTGCCAACGACACTATATTGCTTATAACTGGAGTCGTATCTTTCTTTGGAGAAGGGAGCTCTGTTGAAGCATCATGCACCATGGAAACATTGACTGATAAAAATAAAAAAGAGATTTCTCATCAAGTAGGCAAGCTCAATCAATCAGAAAGCACTCTTTAATAATGTGTTTCAACAAACCATGCATATATCTAATGGTGTTATGTATTGCTAGGCATTGGAGTAATTTTATTAGGGCTTAGGTATAACCACATTCTTTAGGATAACATTAATAACATTAATTACTTTTTGTTAATTTACATTTCCCATTATTTTCTATCTTTTACCTTTGTACACAATTTTTCAATCCTTTTATACTATCTGCTTGAAATTCCATACAAATCTTTACTATGAAATTACCCATGAAAAACAGAAAAGAGATTCATATAGAAATCTCCATTTCTAACTCTTCCAGAATTCATAAATCTCAACATGAATGGTGCTAAGGTTGGTGTCCAAGCTTGTACTGCAGAGATTTCTGTAATAAGCCAGTGTGTATGATGTACAAGCTCCAGGGGCATCACTCAGTCTCCTGTCTATGTAAATAGTCCTACATGAAGTCCAACGGTACTATGTGAGGCTCTTTGACTGATTACATAATTAGACCTGGATACTTTGTGTTTTTCTCTATTGGTGAACTCAAAGTATTCTCAACTAGTTCTACTTCATATAAATAGCTGTGTTTTCATAAAGCAGGGTTAGATACAATATTCTACATCCTAATAAAACAATCTTTACAGATAAGTATTAAATCTCTGCTGGTGAAATAGCCTTCCATTTATACAAAACTACTGGAAAACATTTCTTTGCAATAAGTTTTGGATTGTTTTCACTTTCCCATTTGATTTGCAAATAAATACAGGTTATAAATTAAAGGAAAGCAATAATATTCTTTAACCGTTACTAAACCTCTGATAAGTGCTAAAAAAACATTACCAGTAGAAGATTCCATCTTAGCTTTATTATAAGCAGACAAACAATTAACAGAGCAGAATAGTTCTGTCTTCCCCAAGTCACTGGTGGTTTCAATCATTTCATCTGAGGACTTCAATGATTTGCAAAGAACAGATGTAAGTGTTTTAGCTGGTTTCTGTTTAGAAATTAAAATAATATTCATACTCCTTGCATATGACATATATTGTTAACAAATAGAAAAATACCCAATAATATGTAAATTGGTAGTCGCTTTGGAAAGCAGTTTGGAGGTTTTCTCAAAAAACTATAAATAGAAATATCATTTAATCTGGTAATTCCACTTCTGGTAATTTACCTGAAGAAAATAAGATCACTAATTTGAAAAGATACATGCACTTGTATGTTTAATGTAGCATTATTTACTATATATATTTACTAATAGCCAAGATATAGACGCGACCTAAGTGCCCAATGATAGATGAATAAGTAAAGATAATGTGGTATATATACACAATGGAATACTACCCAGCCATAAAAAATAACGAAATCTTACCATTTGCAACAAGATAGACCTAAAGGGTATTAAGCTAAATGAAATGTCAGAGAAAGGCAAATACCATATGATTTCCCTTATATGTGGAATCTAAAATACAAAATGAACAAACAAAACAAACAGACTCAAACACAGAGAACAAACTGGTGGTTGCTACAGGGGAGGGAAGTGGGGATATGGGCAAAATAGGTGAAGTGAGTAGAGGTACAAACTTCCAATTATAAAACAAATCAGTCATGGGGATGAAAGTACAGCATAGGAAATATAGTCAACAATTGTGTAATTTCTTTGTATGCTGACAGATAGTAACTACTCTCATCATGATGAACATTTAGTAATATATATACATAATGTCAATTAGTTTTATACATCTGAAACCAATATTGTATGCCAACTATATTTCAATACAAGTTAATAAAACTTTCCATTTATTGAGAGCTAAAAAAAGCCAAAACCTGCTACCACTGCTTATTTAAAATATTACAAATGACAACGAAACCACATCGTTACACTTTCTAAAAAACCACGTAAAAAGGCAATGTAGATTCTGCAATGAAGATAACTTGTCAATTTGTTAGACAACTATTTGTATTATTTGTCAGATACAGTAGTAACAGTAAAAATACACATTCAAGTAATGAAAAAAAATGGTCATAGAAGATGTCCATTATCCCAGGCAATCCAAAAGCTAACTGTATAAACAAAAGTCTTGTAATTATATGTCTTTCCTCAACACCAGCATGAGCATCAGGAAATATTTCTATTGGCACTAAGGAGGAGCCAAAAAAGGGTGCTTACTGTGTGTTACAAGATGCTGTGGGAACATTGTTTTACTAGGCTAATTTCATGGTAGAGATTGCAAGCATATTATCAGAAAGCAGCATACAGTGAGAGGTACAGAATATAGTACGTTCCATAAGCAGTAAGGGTGCAAGGAAAAGGATATAAGCTGCGAGGTTCACCATGTATTCTTTATGGTGAGACAGGAACCATCATTCCTGGACTTAAGAAGTTAACACTGATGGTAATGATGAAAGAGAACTGCTTTTGGGGGCACTAAGTGCAAAGACAAATGAAAATATCACACACAAAATTTTAAAGAAGACATTGGCAAAGGAACAATGAAAAAAAAAAGCAGAGTGTAATTTTGAAAATTTCTATTTTTATCCTCTATTAGTATAAATTTTTGTATTTTGAGAAATCTCCAACAATTCACCTATATTTAACATTAAGCACCAATAGTGGTATAATTTATCATTAATTTATTATTCATATGGGAAAGCTAATACTCAACTAGTATAATCTATTAAGTAGATGTAATTATAATAATTACAATTATAACACACAATCCCTTTTTAAATTAAGGAGCTACCCCATTTTTAAATCCATAGCTTTGAACATTTTTTAATACTGATTATAGTTTACTAAATATCAGTTTTCCTCATTATCACACACCATCTTATATGCAGAGTATAGTGCAAGGAAGTACTTTTTAAATTCATTTACCCAACTCAGCCCTGCCCCACCCCACAGGCTGAATAACTGACTCGTAAAAACAAGAAAAGGCCTATTTATTGAGTGTGAGGAATAAAGAAGCAATGGCATTTTTTTGCCTTTAGAAGGCTTCTATGCATTCCATTCTCCCATTTTGGTTCCTAACGCAGGTCCACATTCTTATGGTGTGGGTATTCTGTCACAGAAAAGATGTGGCTCACAAATGATTTATTTGAATTGTTGAGACACGTTGCGAATCCCATCTTCAACTGCTTGTTTTCAAGAATTCATAGGGATAGAGTAAGGTCTCAAAGCATGATCTGAACAAGCAAGATATGTTAACAGTCTCACTTCATGAAAGGGGCTTGGCCCACTAATTGTATTTACCACAGTTAGTCCATCAAAGCAAGGCCAGCTTCTCTGCTCTTAGAACCACCCACCCAAAGCTCTCATATAGAAATAGAGGATTATTTCTCATTGTTTTATTTCCACCTATGACTGATTCAGAAAAAACATGTGACATTTTCATCTTAACCTTGCTTAGGTATAATAAATAAATATTCTCAGTTGTACTAAAATCTAATTCCCACAATTTCCTGAGTGGAACTATTCACAAACCACTAATGGAAGGAACTCATCTTCAATTTCTCACTTGAGTCCTATACAGTCAAATTCAAATGGAGTGGTCCTCACTTTATGCAATGTATCTCTATTCATATCTGCTTATATGCTGTAAAACTCTCTGAACTATTAAAGCAATAGTTCTAAACTACTAGAACTACTGATGGTCCTTCCACCTGAAATATACAGAAGAGACTGGAGCTAGTGTTAACAGTAAGCTCCCTAGTTCACTCAACAGCAGATTAGGTTAGCAGAGTGAAACTGAAAAACAGGCATTACTGCAAAGTCAACGTTTCACGTTCTGGTGTTTTACTTCATATTGAATTAGGATCAAAAAAGTAAGATTCAATAAAAACTCTGATATTTAATGATCAGAATTCCTAATGGTTAAAAAAAATTTGCAACTTACGACAGTAGTCTTCTGACACATGCTGCACTTGATTGAAATGCCATTAGTACATACAGTGACAAAAGGTTTTCTTTTTTCTTCATATGATGAAAGACAAGATTGGCTGCAAAAATTTTTGCTAGAGGTATTATCTTCCAGCTGGACACTGATCACATCTTTTAGATTTAAAATGTCTCTAAAAATAAACAACAAGGGTACCATTAAACACATTTATTACAATTTCTATTCATAAATGAAATCACTCCCTCAAACAATCCTCCCCCTTATTGTTTCATTTACCTTAAGAACTGTGAAAACAGTAGTAACAACATCAGCTTTGAAATAAGCAAGCCTGAATTTAGTACCTAGTTCTATCACTAAAATTAAATAACAAGTCATTTATACTCCCTAAATGTTAACTTCCTAATCTATAAAATAGGGATTATATAATGATAGTGCACTTTTGAGGATTACCTAGCTTGTGGTAGTCGGTGTTAGTGACAAAATGATGATGAAAATCACATATTTGTATCTGACCAACTTTGGAATCTACAAGACAGGATTTCAAAGTATGACCTGTATGACTCAGGAGATTCCCCAGATACTTCCAGGGGGTTGACAAGATAAAAATTATTTTCATAATATTAAGATGTTATTTGTTTTTTTCACTGTGATGACATTTCAACTGATGGTGTATAAGCCCCAGTGGGCCCCTGGAATTCCACTCCTAGGTATGTACCCCAAATTACTGAAAACACATTATCAAAAAGATTATGTATATGCATGCTCCTAAAAGCTATTTTCCTAGCCAGATGATGGAAACAGCTCAAATGCTCATCAACAAATGAATGGATAAACAAACTGTGGTATATAATTAGAATATTATTAGCTATAAAAAAAGAATGAAGTACTGATATACATGCTGTGACATGGGTGAACCTTGAAAGCACTAAGAAGCCAGACACAACAGGTCACATTTATGATTCCACTTACATAAAATATCCAGAATGGATAAATCCAGATAAAATACATGTTGGTGGTTGCTAGAAGCTGAGGGGAAAGAGGGAAATGGGGTAAAACTGCTTAATGGACAAGGCATTTTGGAGTGACAGGAATGTTCTGGAACTAGATAAAAGTGGTAGTTGCACAGCACTGTGAATGTACTAAATGCTACCAAATGGTTTTTAGTTACATAAATTTCACTGCAGTGAATTGCAAGGGGGAAGAAAAAGCAATGGTGGGTAAAACTGCCATAGACTTAGCACGAATCAAGGTAGTGGCACCAAAATGTACTATTATTTGTTATTCACTATTATGCAGTCACTATAAAAATTACTCACTTTATTAAACTTGAGTATATCTTTTTAAAATTCTGGTGATGAAATGCGACAGAGCATAAAGTATTTCTCCTGCACACCAAAGTATGATAGTTGTCTCAAGGAAAATTTCATGTGGGAATGTTAAGAATTATAGCCTTAGTTAGCTACTTTTTTCAAGGAATACATTTTTACTTGAAAGAATGAACTCTTAAATGTTATCCAGAAGTGGCTACCTGGCAGGTATTTTCTTAAAAATGAATAAAGTAAGACTGTTACTTCAAGGAAAACAAATGGCAGCATTCACTGCCAGTGGTAAAATTCAAGTTTTCACTAAAAACTAGAATTTTGGAAAGCTTGTATCTACCACCTCCAGCTTATTTACTTCCCAACACTTAAGACTTTCTTGATGAGATAGATTTTCTTTTTTAAACAAATGTAATTTAAAAAATATTGCATAATGAAATATGTCAATATTTGGAAGATCTGCATAACTCAGTGAACCAGTATTTCCAAATGATGATACCATATAACAAAAATCATTCGTAGGTAAAAGAGCCATTTAAAATGTAAATAGACCAATGAGTTTTAATGTAATAGTACAAAAAAATAAACTGACAAGGCTTTGATTCTACACTGCAACTAATCTTTAAGAAACTATTACTTGTTTTCTGGTGTAATATCAAAGTACCCACAATTATCTGAAAGGCTATTAGAACACTCTTCCCTTTTCCAATTACATATTTGCAAGGCTAGATTTTCTTCAGACTTCAACAAAAACAACATTTTGCAACAAACTGAATGCAGAGGTAGATATGAAAATCCAGTCAGACATTAAAGAGGTTTGCAAGACTGATAAAATTATGTTCACTAAATTTTCCTTAAAGTATTTCTTCTCCCTAAATTAAAAATATATGGCTACTTTTCATAAGAAATATTATTTTTGTCAACATGCACTGAGTTTACTATTCTTAAATTAGTTAATAATTAAATAGTTAAAAATGTTCTCTGTTTTAATTTCTAACAGTATATATTGGTAGATACAACGTACATAAACTAAAGCTCTTTGGGTCTTCAATAATTTTTAAGAGTGTACAAGGGTCCAGAGACCAGAGTATTTGAGAAATGCTGTTACAAGAAATACCAAGATACCTGGCTACCTATAACCCTCAGTATATCAATCTTTCAGGATTAAGTTTCCCAGATAAAATATTTCTGAAATCAACACTATTTCAACACTTCAACGTTTACAAAATTTTAGTGTATTATGATCTTTCTGCCTTCTTAAAACAGACAGCACCAAGAACAACAGGCTCATTTTATTACCACAACTTCAGTCATTTTACTGGCTTAGAATATAACTCTAAAAGTAGCATCTGAGCACTATCCTTGTTTTTCAGTTGACGAATTTCCAGGCATTCACTGAGTGCCAGGTAGTGTTTTAGGTCTTGGGGATATACAGATGAATATAATCTGGTCCTTAGTATCAAGAGGTTCATAGTCTAACTGGGGTAATATCAGTTCTTTAAAAATATTAATTTTATGATCAATGCTTTGGGAGTTATGAACACTATGAAAACACAGACCACGGAACAATTAATCTGGGTGGGTGGCAGGCAGTGAGAGGAGAGGAAGGAATGTGTGGGAATAGACAAGAGGTAAAGATGTTTGAGGCAGATCTTTAAGACAGAAAGAACAGCCAAATGGAAAGGGAGGCACAAGAAACTGCACTGGCAGAAGCATGGAAGTCTGAAATACTTATGGTTTTTACTGCTATCAGCATATTAGATTGCTGACTTCTAATCTACTAAGGCCTTATAAATTAAAAAAATTAAAAAAAGGATTTTGTTCAAAGTGCCTAAAATCAAACAAACTGAGCATTAAGTCTGAACAACTTTCCTACAAATAAATGCTACAGCATTAGTGCATGAGCCTACTTTAACTGATTGCTTTCAGGATCTCTGGTTGGTTCTACCTGGGATACTGACGTGCAGAAATGACACTTTTTAAATGCACAAGCTCTCAAAAAAAGTCTTCTCTTTCTAAAATCATTTAAAACGTCATATTCAAAGCTATCTTTCATTTGGTTTACAAAATAGAATTAAAAACTGCATTAACTCAAAACATTTTAAATCACTGCTAAAAGAAAGCTCAACAATAACTGATAATTTGCTAAAATCTTGAAAACTATATATAATAATACAAAAGGCTAATGAATGTAGAGTGAAAAAAGTTTTGAAAAAAAGCACTGGTTACTCTGAACAACAGATGGCCTCTCCTAGTCTAAGCATTACTACTTTTATACCAATCCATAAAATAGTATTTTGTACCAAAAAACACTTTATTCCAAAGGAAGTAAAACCTGTTTCATAATTTTGCTTATATTGGATTTCTTTGCCTTAGAGAACAACTTACACACTAAATCTTTCCTGCTTTAGCCTTTTCAAATCTGTCTAGGAGATCTGAAGATGTATAATGGGTAAACTCCAAATACAGCAACATGATACCTTAACTTCTCAGGGCCTCAGTTTCCTTAAAACCCAAAGAAAATGTTGGGACTGGATGATCTCTAAGATCCCTTCCAGTTTCATGATTCTGCAGAGAAAGAAAGCAGGCTGAAGAAAGTGCCATACAGCCCATAGCAAAAAAGAAAAAAGACAAAGTATAGTACTGAAGGGTTGAAAAAGCACAAGGAAAATATAAGTAGAATTCTGGGCAGTAAGACTTAATGCAACAGATAAACACTTGAAGCAGCAGCCAAATGGGGAGCTGAAGCAACCAATAAAAAGGGTTTGTGAGTTTGTTAGGAGGATAATATTAGTGGTAGCTAACATTTACTGAGTTCCTATTACATGTCAGTATTGTTTTGATCACTTAAATGTATTATTTAATGCTCATAATTTTATGCACATTTAGCAAAACAGATGGGAATACTAAGATGTTCTTAATGTTTTTCAAACTTTAGCATGTGTATGAATAACCTAGGGATAAATGCAAGTCTAGGTGAGACCTTAGGTTATGCATTTCTAAGAAGCTCTCAGATGATGCTGACATAGCTGCTAAGGGAACACACTTTGAGAAGCAAAGTTTAACTAAATGGAAGAAACTAGACTTCAAATTATGGCAATCTGATTGCAAAAGAAGACATTATCTGAAAGGAATTTAGTTAGAAGCAAAACTAGTTGCCTATATGTTTTCTTGTTCTGAAACAAAGACACTTAAAACTTAGTATTAGCATTTAATGAGTACTAACAAACGAGAATTATACTATGATAGAGTTCTCAAAGCACTGATCCTTTATACATCTGAGGGTAGAGTTCAAAGTTCTGGATATTTCCCACTAATTCATAATGAAATTACTACTGTTTCCTTTTTCTGTAACTGAATTGCCTTACACATATGTAAAAACAAGTTAGCAACTAAGACTCTAACAATAGTCACAGAAATCCTAAAAGATTATGTACATCCATGCATGTTTACCTATGGCTAGTCAATTTTTCGAAAGAATTAAGTAATTTCACTTATCATTCATCACAAGAGAAACATAACATAATTTTACACCTTGGAAGATCCAAAATAACTTAATTTTTTTAATAAGTTGCTTCCTATACAGTTAAATGATGAAATAGAATGGATATACAATAATCTCACTTATTTCAAAAGTAAATTTTGGAAGTCATATTATTTATAGTTAAAGAGAAACAAAACTCCTCACATTTTAAGTTTTGCAAATCTCTCAAAAAAACCCACAATATTTCTGGAGAATCTATTAGAGAAACTGAAAGCAGAAGCAGCTTTTCACTAAACTATGGTGAAAAAAAATAAAAACGTAGAAAATTACAACCAAGACTTTGATCAAGCCCTATCTATGTAGGGAAGTAAAAGGGGGCATAATTTAGAAGTATATACTTGGAGCAGTTTGAACAAGTTCTCTTGGGAAGAGCTGGTGAATTGGCAGATGAAATGTATTCAGTGACGCACGGTGTGGAACAGAAAAGCTGAGTAGACCCTTTCCTCTGATAAGCTGTCTGGCCCTTCTGAAGGATTTTTTTACAGCCGGAACAGGAAACCTGAATGGCTGTGGTTGAAACTGAAGGAAGCATTTTATTCACGCCAGATGATGTCAGAGAAAGCTGAATGCCTGCAGTCAACTGTGAAGCTATAAACACAAAACAGAAAGGGAAAAAATTAGTATTTACATAAAACTATGCATTCTTTCATTTTCTTAAAGAGGTTACTTTCTGGACTTGAAACCCAAAACAAGCAGTGCACTATTCAAAGGCATTCTAAAGAAGTTGAGTAAGTGGCTACCATATTGATCAGAATAAATAAGGTTAATTTAAATAATTCTATTACCACTGTCTGAAAATGTAGTGTTTATTTTCAGTTCACTCTCCTGAGTTTTGGGCGGTTGGGCTTGACAATACTCCTACAAAAAGAGTTGAAAATAATGAATACAGTGTTTAAAACAACCAGTCATTTGATAAAAAATGATAAATTATGCTCAATTCTGTTCAGTGAATTGTACAGCTGAATTGAACCATTATACGTACATAGGCAAGCATCCCCCTTTTGATGACCTTTGGCTGATAACACCAATTACTATGTTATTGTCTACTGTACCTAGATGTGACTTCAGAAATTTTTGTTAACACAGTCCCTCAAGCTACTACAAATAGAGTAGACATAATAAAATGACACCTTGTTCTAATCCTTAATAGCTAATTGTCTTCATAAAGACCTTAAACACAAAAATTGTTAGATTGAGCTGAATGAGTTGTACAAAGAAGGATTTTTTCAGAGCAGTAAGCAATCTATCTAAACTTGATCTATGTGTTTGAATGTTCATGGGTTGAAGAAGAAACAGATACTTCTCAGATGGACAACATTCCCCAGTATCAATAACTCAACAGGAGTCATATCCTTACTTGATACTGATTTACTTTAGGCTATTTCTAAATGATACTAGAAATAAATTAAAACTGAACGTACTTTTTGTTTTATTAGAAATTTCAACTGGTTCATATACAAGCAGTATAAGGAAATTTGGCTTTACAGAACACTCAGAGCTTGAGTCAGTTTATCCTTTTTTAGGTTTTTAGCATGTGACGTGTCTAAAAAAATTTAAGAATGTACACGAAACTAATTTGGATGAAAAAAATTGTACATCAAACTAATCTGGATGAAAAAATTGTAAAGAAAAAAACTCTATGAGTTTAAAATGTACTAACTACACTACCTAATACAGGTAGTTGCATAAAATTATATTGTTTCAAGTTAAGAAAAATGAAAATAAACGTGTTAACCTTAGTGATGTCCATGATACCCTAAGCAGTTCTTTTATCAACCCAAAAACTTCCATCCAACGCATCCATTCTCTCAAATCACATTCTTGCACATTCGTTACGGCACTCAATACCACATAACTTGTATTAATAATCAGTGGCTTTGGACGCAGATAAATATTTAAGATTTCCAGTGAATAAAACAGCATCTGCATAACTAAAATTTATAATGAAATGTTGCTCTAGAAAAAAGAAAGGTAAAATATTTACCTGAGCATTGTCAGGTTCCGTCTTAATTTCATCTAGCTGCCCCAGGTGTGGTGCCCCTGCCTTGTCGTCACCTTCACCATCTATCGGTGATTCTTTCATCTTAGTATCTGAGGCAAAGGAATCCTCCAGGTCCAAACTAATGGTTTCTTCTTGGGGAACAGTTTCCAGATTCCTTAAATAAAGTATGAATTGATGAAGAGTCTGATATAGAAGTAGTCCTTTTAAATATGGTAGTTTTCTGGAAGCACAAAAGGGTCTTTAGACAGCTTGGCCTCCAGGTTCCTTCACAGTACCAACACTGGCTTCCTTCTCTTCATGCCTTACTCCCCAACATAGCTTTGTTTTATACTTCCTGGGTACACACACCTCTATGCTTTCTTCTGGGACTAGTCTTCACTTCTATAAAACTATAGCATAAATCCACCAAACACACAAGTTTATTTTTAATTTAGGTTGAAGAAAATGTAAAGCCTTCTGAGTTTGATCCAATCACCTGTACTCACCACCCTCTCTTCCCTACTGGTCTCACAGAGACAGTTGTTACCTGCATCTTCAACTACTCTTCCCTGCCCTAGAGGTTCCTCTCCTGTAAGTATTTAAATAGATTGAAAAATCCAACTTATAAAGCTGTTGCTGTCTGGCTACTCCTCTCCTCATTCTTGAAATTCTCTCCTTAGATTACTGTGACTTCAAGACCTATTTCTCCCCCTACCTCTTTGCCAATTTGTCTTATCAAATGTTTCACCTACTTCTAAAATATTTGTGTTCCTCCAAAGCACAAATCCTCTCACTCACTCTGAGCACACAAAAACTTGGATTCAACTATCACCTACAGGCTAATTTTCTCCTACATTCCTGAACTTCAGCCCATATACCCAGTTGCTCCTTAAATATCTCCACTGGATATTCCACAGGTTCCTCAAACTCAAGAAATTTAAAGCTATATTCTTATATAATCCCCATAAACCTGCTTTACCTGTGTTCCCTTTCTTGGTAAATGGCTCTAACATATACACCCCATTTCCCAAGCTAGAAATCTATGAGTGGTCCTATGTTATACTTCCAAAGTCCCTACATCTAATCATCAAACTGGATCAAACACACCTTCTAAATGTCTTGAATCTTCTCATTATAACTCATGCTTGACCACCCTCCATCAATGGATTCCTTTTTGTTAAATAGATAGCTAAAATCCATAAACACAATATAAAAGACTGCTGCAAAATCAGCTTAAAAAAGAATTCCACTTTATAGCCTCTGAGGAACTACAGGAGTCTTTAGATTGCTTGAGAATCCCAATGCCTCTTTTTCAAGGACAAACTTCCTTCTGTTTTCCTTTTTCCTTAACTGAGGTTTTTTAAGTCTGGGGAGAGGAAATCCCGGGGCAAAATACCTCTAAAAACCGAAATCAGTCAAAGGGAGAAATAAAGTTTAAAGCACATTTATTGTTTACAAACTGCAGTCCAGCGCCTTCTCTCTCTCCCCTGCTCCGGAAGAGGCAAGCCAGCAGCCAGACCCTCGCCTTAAACTCTCAGGTTCAGACAGGCCCTTGGTTGCCCAGATAATTACCCACTGACATGGAGATGAACTTCTCTCCACCCCGAGGATATGTAAATGCACTGAAGCCAGGCAAGATACTCTGGAAATGTTACAATTTTACCCACAGGTCTCTATTTCCACTTTCCTGGTAGTTTTTACTGAAAGCCCCTATCCTAAGGCAGAAAATTAAATAAATACAGCCTTACTGTGAAGTGCAATGAAAGCTCCTAGGGCCTCTGCCCAGCCCATTTGAGCATTACAATACAACCAGCAAAGCAAAACTCATTCAAATTGTCATTTTTGATTGTCATTAAGCAGATTCCCTTCACTTGAGAGTAAACACTTTTACAAGCCTATGGATCTATGGTATGATCTTTGGTATCTTGGAATCTCTTCAAACACGTTAGTCAATACACCAAGAGGCAAATAATGGAAAACACTCTGAAGATGTAACTAATTAATTTAAACTATATTTCTGAGGCAGGAGAAAATGGCATACAACATTTCTTTAGCTATTAGAAAAAAACAAAAAGAGCAAAAAACATATATGAACATCCAATACTTTCTTTTGCAACAAGATATACATTAGATTAAGTAAGTCCTGGAGACCTCTTTTTAATATAGTCCCACCCATCTTTTCAAATTGGGGCTAACCCACATGAGAGTATTAATAGTCATAGGATAAATGTAGTACATCTCCCTGCTGGTTACTACTACTTGAAAAAAAGTAATTTAAGACAATTTATAATTTTATTTTTATTGCTGACAAATGGTGATTTTCTTATTATATACAATCTTATATTAGCTTAAAGTATACAACAGAGGTTCAACATTTACCCATATTACTTATCCTCACCCCTACTAGTACAGCTACTATCTAAGACATTTTAATTTAAACCATAGGGGGATTATTATGGAGCAGAAAACAAAATTCACAATCATTTTAAAAGTAAAACATGAAACTGAAAAGAAATTACAAGTTATCAGTAGTTCCAGACACACAAACAGAAATCCAGAGGGAATGCATATACTTTACTCATGGAAAATTAGTACCATATTGCTCATATAGACCTGATGCTTCAAACTGCTTCACCTTAATCTTTTAATTGCTCCCCACAATACTTGCTGCTGGTACTGTTCTCCTACCTGCAAAGTCATTTTTGTCTATTCAAATCCTATTCAGCTTTTACACCACCTCAGCTCTAGATTTTATCAGATTGTCAAGAATTAAAAATAAGAATGATAAATCTAGGCAAAACAAAGTAGCGTTTAGCATGGTAACCACTCCTACTGAAAACAATTATAAAATTAATGGGCTTTACCCCTGAGGGCAGTTTCTAGAAAAGAGTAAAGGAAAAGCCCAAGCAGAAAACAGCAGGATACTGAGCCAAAGGGGAGACAAGACTTCTAGGTTATTCAAGTAGTTGGAACTCAAGAAGCACAAGAGAGAAGGGAGAACCATGGAGAAGTAATCCCTTGTATCTGCAAATATAACCCTCCTCCACTTATTAGCTGGCTCCTAAACTGTACATCTACAGAATAAGACTCCAAAAAACTTAGCAGAAAATAGAAGTTGAGAGGCTGAAGAGCTGAGAAAAGATTATAGCAGGTCTGCAGAGCTAAGAATAGTTGAAATTAAACCCAATAAAAGCAGATGGCACTTGGTAAAGACCTGAACTTTCAGTTGAGATTCCAAGGGGGTCATACCCTAGAAGTAAGAGCCACACCCCAGGAAAAAAGACCCCTTTATGTAAGAAAGGGCAAACCAAAATAGATCAGCCCTAAGAGGGGCCTAACACCAATCCTGGATAGAATCAGTTTAATCCCTGGTAGTACTACCTGCCCGCCTAAAGGGAAATTCAGCCCTCTCCAGAAGAACTGCACCTAGTCTTTAAACTTTTCCTCCACAATGTGCAGAATACAATAAAAATTTATGGGCAATGCCCCCCCTCCCCTACCCCCCAAAAAACTGACTGAAAGCCAAGGGGGAAAAAACCAAACAGATCCACCATGACTCATATTGGTTATTATCAGGCAAGGACTTTGATACATTTGAGAAAATAAATAAAAAGGTGGAGAAGTTCAGCAGAGTCCTAGAATTCATTTAAAAAATTAAAAAGTCATGGAGATTGAGAACTGGAAAATAACATAGGCAAATTAAGAACTCAACAGATGAATTTACTATCAAATTAGTGAGCTAGAAGACAGGTAGGTTAGCACAAAGTCAGACTGATGCATAAAAGGAGAAAAATACAAATAACGTGAGCAACATGTGGGACATGGCAAAAAGGTCTAACTCACAGGTAAAAGAGTCTCAGAATAAGAAAAAAGAGAATACAACAGAAGCAATATTTGAAGAAATACTTGCTGGGCAATGTCCCCCAAATGAAGAAAAATATAAAACTACATGAATTCAGGCAGCTTTATGAACAACAAATAAAAACACAACTATGCACATCATAGTCACGCTGGTGAAAACCAAAGATAAAAAGAAAATCTTAAAAGCAGCTAGAGAAAAAAGACATTAACAAACAGGGGGACAAAAATAAGAATGATGGTGGTCTTTTTGTCAGAAACTATGAAGATCAGAAGTTAATGAGATAAAGTGCTGGAAAAAAAAAGAGCTACCTAAAATTCTCTAATCAGTAAAAATATCCTTGAAAAATAAAGGTGAAATAAGAACATTTTCAGATAAATGAAAATGGTGACATTTATTACCAGCAAACTATACTGCAGAAATACGAAAAGAATACCCTTTAAAATAACGTGGCATACCCCATGGAAATTTAGTAACTATTTGTAGAGAGTATGATTATGTATATACAAAACGCTAAGGAATATTCCCTTCCTTGTTCCTCCAATAAAATACCAGAATAAGTAAATTTTAGCAGGATCGTAGGATAATATAAAGTCAGTACTTAAAACTTCTTTTTCTCATCATTTCTCTTCACCACTGTACTAGAGCTTATCATCAGGTCAATAAAACATGAAAAAAAGAAGCCTTGAAAAGGAGTAATTGTCATTATCAATAACATGCTGTATACATAAAAAACCCAAACGGATCTCCAAGTAACTAATGGAATTATTAAGTAAATTTGGCAAGGTCAGAATTAAAAATCAATTACATTTCTTTGTACTAGAACAAGTTGGGAAATACAATTTAAAATAACCATTTCTATAGTATAATGCATCATATACAGGATTAAATCTAATGAACTATGTCAAGATCACTACACTGAAAACAAAACAATGCTAAGAGAAATTAAAAGATCTAAATAAATGGAGATACAACATGCTCATATTGACTCAATATTGTCAGCTTTCCCCAAATTGAACTACAGATCAAAATCCCAGCAGGAGTTTTTGTGGAACTTGAAAGATGATTCCAAATGTATATGTATATTCCATTTTTGCTAAGACAGCCCCCAAAAAGAAAACAGTTGGAGGCTTTATTATAAACCTACAGTAATTAAGGTAGTGAAGTATGGACACAAACAAAAATAAAATGACTAATCAAAGAGTCCGGAAGCTGGTCTACTTCCACCTCTTATTTCCCTGCATTATAGTTACTTCTTTAGACATTACATTTTGCAAAGATTTGTTTTATTCAGTTGAATTCTGCAAGCTCTTTTA